TTAGAAATGACACATTTTGTTCTAAAATATCTTCCTTGCATTGTAAAAACATTAAAAAAAAAAAAAAAAAAAAAAAAAAAGTTACAGCAGTGTCGGCTCCTTTCCTGTGAACCAGAAGGGAACTGAAACTGACTAAAATCCTGCTTTCCAAATGTCTGAATGTAAGATTCTTACCAACTTCAGACCCCTGCTGGCTCTGAATCATGGAGCCAGCAGTGATAAGTGATAAATGGTGTAGCATGTATCTGTGATCCTGGTACATATTGAGTCTTGTTTGTGTTGCTTATTAAAGCCCTGGTTCAGGAGAAGTTATTGCAGCTCCTGGTTTGGAGTAATAGTCTGTCTTTCTTATAAGAGAAATTAGTATCTAAAAATGGAGAATTTTGGGGGGTGATTTTTTTTTTTTAATATTAGATTTTTGGGTCTGTCGACACTGATGGGCTTCTAATATTTTGTGTATAATAGATATACAACATATGGAACATGATATGTATGTCTAAGCTTCAGAAAAATAAGTTGTGAAAATCCTAAAGCAAAAATGGAATGTGTAAAGGTAGCCCAAAAATGAGTCCTGGGTAAAACTATGGTAAGCATGCTCTTATGATTTGTATCTCTTTGCTTTTTATTTAATCAAAACAGAGCATGAATGAAAGAGAAGGAGCATGCACAAGACCTTATATGGCATGTCTACACTGCAACGTAAGCCCCTGCTTGAGCTTGGGCTCGGGCTCAAGCCTAACTCCCCTTTGCATCTGCATTGCAATTGTGCTAACCCAGGGTCCCAGGGCTCAGACCCGGGTCCCAGGACCCTGCAGGGCTGGAGGGTCCAGGCACAAGTCAAGCTGAGATCCAGGGTCCCAGCCCTTTTGATTTGCAGTGTAGATACAGCCCCGCTTTACTCAGGTCCTGGGAGTCTGCCAGAAGTACCACAATTCCATGGGACAATTTCCTTAAGTCCTCTCTTAGTCTCAACAATCTGCAATCCACTGTATTGAAAATTGAAGCCACACCCCTTGGTGAATGGCAGCAGCTCAGCTAATTGTTAACCCAGGGGTCGGCAACCTTTCAGAAGTGGTGTGCCAAGTCTTCATTTATTCACTCTAATTTAAGGTTTCACATGCCAGTAATACATTTTAACGTTTTTAGAAGGTCTCTTTCTATAAGTCTATAATATATAACTAAACTATTGTTGCATGTAAAGAAAATAAGGGTTTTAAAATGTTTAAGAAGCTTCATTTAAAATTAAATTAAAATGCAGAGCCCCCCCGGATCGGTGGCCAGGACCTGGGCAGTGTGAATGCCACTGAAAATCAGCTTGCGTGCTGCCTTCGGCATGCGTGCCATAGGTTCCCTACCCCTGTGCTAACCCATTCTCTTCTGATCACCAAACTGAAAGCACAGTATTAGAGAACCTCCTGGGTTTGCAATGGAAAGTAAGCCAATCAAGCTTTTTTCAAAGTGAGCTGCTTCATGGTCATGGGAGCGCAGCCAAATTTTGGTGAATTTCTGATGTAAAGCAAGTAAAACTGTGGACTTCAGCAAAAGCACCAAAAATGACCACACATACTAGCAGATCTGCACATTGTCTGGACAGGTGATCAATGCAGGGAGCGCATTAAGAGGCTGAAGAGCGAGTAGCAGAAGACCAGGGACAAGAACCACACCTTGGGCAATTGTTCAACAACATGCCCACTTTATGATGACTTTGACAAGGTTCTGGGCACTGTGCCCAACACAGAGCCAACCATATTTCATGAAGATCTTGTCAGTCAGGATGGTGCCCTCTTGGTCACTGAATCCAGCATGGAGACTGATGGGAGCCAGCATTAGGCTCCCAGTAAGGAGCATGAAGTGACTCTTTTAATGAAATCATCCCGAGAGCAGGCTGTGGATCAGGATCGACAGCAAATTCTTGGTCCCTACTTAGAAGAACTGTTTGATTCCCCCCACCCTCAAGGAACAGCCCTTTGCCGAATCTATAGAAAACTTGGTGGAGAAAGAAGCCACCCCAGAGCCCGGTAAGTGTATGACTGAAATGTACAGTTTATTACAGTACTGGGAGGGATTTCTGCTGTAAGAAGCAATGCAAAAATGATAAGCCCCGGCTAGCAGTGTGCAGCCACCAATGGCAGATTGTATCACAGTGCCTTGGTGTCTCCACTCCCACCCCTATGTGGAGTTCAAAATGACAACTTGGAATTTCAAACTTCATAAACAGCTGTTATTTTAACTGTTAAGTCACAGATGTTTGGTAGGGTCACTCATGTTTGCCTTTCAGTAATAAATTTGCCACTCTGTAATCACTCCTCCGGGGTCCATGGAGCAGCCTTTAAACAGTGAACTGAGTGTGTTGTATTTGGGAAACAGTATTCTATTTCCAAATTTAGTCCATTTCAGCTAGAGGTAATCCATGCAGTATGTGGGTCACAAAATCATTTCTCCAAAGTATGAGTGGGCTGCCAGTTTTTCCCCAGAACTATGCCGGGTGCGGGGTGGAGGAAAGCTGCAAATTTCAGAATGTTCGCGTGCAGCAATAACAGAGTAAGCCATATGTGAGCTAACACAGCATCATATTAATTCCCTCATGGCTTATGACCCAATCTTGGCTGCTGATAGCTGCAAACTTTTTGTGAAGCAGGACTCCAGATAGTCAATCACATTGCAGGGAAAGGTGTATTTTCTAGCCCCCCCCCCCCCTCCCTTGTATAGCTGACTAGTCCACTCCAAGAACAGATTTGCTGTTTGGTCACTATACATTTGAATACTTCAGCCGCATACACTGCAGGTTTCCCTCCAGGTGCTTGGAGTAACATCTCCCTCTGCCAACAGGGTACAACAAGAACAGTTGTCTTTCACAATATGGAAGGCCTGAAATGACAGAAAAAGCCTTTTGCAGCAAGGGCACTATATACACCAGCCTTCTGCCCCCCATGGAAATTAAGACAATTTTATGAAACACAAAAAAGGGTTATAATTTTAAACTTACCGTTGTTTCTGCACTTCTGTGATTGCGATTAACAAGGCTGTATCCAGAGACAGTCTAAGGACTGAAGCATCCCCTTCACATTATGTGTTAGTTCACTTTAGAAATATTACATTTTGTCCTTGAGATTCCACACAAATTAATTCTGTGCTCTAGCTTAGACAATTACCCCCTATTTCATGTCCTACTTCAGGACCCTCAACCTATGTACCGCCTGCTCTTTTTCAGGAACTCGATCTCTGGCTCAACGTACCTTCACATTCCAAAAGGAAGTGTTGTTGTTCTTGAGAGGACAGACCAGCAAGTCCAGTACCAGAAGAAGAGTGACAAAAGACTGGAACAATGGCATGTTGACAGGCAGGAGGACAGGCTGAGGTTTGCTGTCCAGGTGGAGGACAGGTTTCAACTAGGGAGCAGGCACTTGCAAAGCAGTGCCTGGCATAGGAATGGCAGCTAAGAGAGGAGGACAATGCTCAACAGAGAGAACTGTTTCAGCAACTCCTGTCCATACTGGCTGAAGAGTATTATCTCCAGCTGCCTCTCCAACTCCATGGCATGATGTTCCTGCAACATACCCTCAGTCCAGCAGTAACTTAGATAATTCTGTCGGGTGGCCTATGCATTCAGGACTCGTGAGTGGCTGGGCAGGACAACTAAACCCTGTGCAGCCTTCCTTCACCAATCCCCCCTCTGGAGGAAACCTCCACCACCGCTGCCACCTTCAACCCGTCTGGTGGAAATCTTCCTCTCTCCCCTCCTCCCCCCACCCCCCCACCACCACCACCCACCCACACACACCACCACCAAGTGAGGGGGAAATGTGTAAAGAAGGGACAGGAGAATGTTGGGCCAGGGAACATGTAGTGATAGGGGGATTATGTCATGTATTAACTATTTCCTGCCCTTTTGGGTGTGTGGTTTTGGAATGGCAGCTGGCCTGCCCAACGCTGTGTGTTTTACTATTTTAGAACATGTTTACAAATAAAGCATGTTATATTTTCGAGAACGTTTATTGATATTGCATTGCATTGCATCGCATCATAGAATTATGGCTTGAGATAGTAAAGCTAAAATATGTTCAGGAGCAATTGATAGGTTTGCTTACCAATGCTTCTTTTATTTAGGTAAGGTACATCAATTCACATTTCAATAAACTGGCTGTACACCCATTCTGGTCTCCCCCCACAGCCAAGTTCATTACTCATCATGTCATTCAGACTTACACTGCATGTGAATCAAGCCTACACCCCTCCCAAGCGTTGCCCACTCTCAAAATAATTAATAGGCCACTTTTTCCTCACAAGCACATTCCTAAAGGTACTATTCCTCCTCTTCCTTTGGGCCATGCAAGTTCATAATGTGAGAACACAAAGCATCTGTGACTTCTGCTGTCCGGTGCAACCAGCTCCCACAGTGGTACCTGTACTTTCTGGTTGAGGGTACTGATCCAGTATCCCCTTGCTATCAGAGGTCCAGTCAGGGGGAAATAGCTCACCTCAGGCTTCGCAAAGGCTGTGAAGAGCACAGCAAGCCACAGTAATTGACATCGTTGATGACACTGGCATCCAAATGAGATTGTAGACACCTCGAATGTGCTTTCGGCAGATTAAAATCACATTGAACAACCATTCTACACATGCTGAGCGTGTAATTAAACCTTCTTTTGCCAGGGTCTCTGAAATGGTTTCAAATGCCAAGGCAAAAGGGAGTATGCGGGGTCCTCCAGAATAGCAATGGGGAAAGCAACATTATTTCTGTCAATGTCATTTGGTGGGAATAATGTCCCAGTGTGGCCATGAATGCAGACTCTCAAGTGGCGAGAAACTCTGGCATCACAAACTTTTCCAGTACAGACAACGCTGACGTTCGGAAATCTGCCTCTATAGTCTACTAGTGCCTGCATAACTAATGAGTACCCTTTGCAGTTTAGGTACTCGCGCTCCTTGAGGAGGGTAAACTATGGGCACATGAGTCAGATTAATGGCCCCAGCACAAGTAGGAAACCCCATTCTCCCAAAGCCAGCAATTACCTCTGGAATATCTTTAATGCATGGCACCTTGGGGTAAGCCACTCAGTTGCCTCTGCCACTACTTTACTAACAGTCAGCTTTCCAACCCCAAACTGTAGATGCTCAAGCCCAGGGTTCCCTAACACGAGTCAACCAACTGGAGTCCCACTAACCTTGAGCTTACAATGCAGTGTAGACATGTCCATAGTGAGGTGTTAAGATCATACCTTGTGAAACACAAAGATGATGGATTTAAAATGCCTCTGAGAAAGTATTTTCCCAGGAAGTACTCTGGTTTCTGTTGATACAAGATCTCAATACCTAGGGATCCCTATTTTGACCATTAGCTTTCCTACCTTTAAAACTCTCTGCCACAACCAAGATCCTAGCTGAGAACTGGACAAGATTCAACCATGTATTTCTTGATCTGATTGTTAAACCAATATAAAAGCAGGATGGAAAGTGATTTATTCTTTTCTTTCATATGGCAACTTGAAAAGCAACATAAAAGATTGACATTCAAGTTTGTCATCCACTCTGTGGCTTGTAGTGACATGATGTGAACCAAGGTTGTCCTTCCAGAGAAGGATCTTGGAGGACAGCAGTTGACTAGGTGGTCCATAGTTTGGATATCTTCTCCACATTCACATATTGGTTTGTCCTTCTTCTAGTTGTATAGTAGATAATTGCAACACCTGTGCGAGGTTCTGACATGGTTCACTTTGATCCATATCTTAGATGGCACAGTGAAGCCACGTTGTTGGTCTGTAATATCCATTATCTGTTCTTGATCCTGCTGTCTTCTCACAACCTCAGCCAGTTGTCTTTTGATGACAGTCCCAAGTTTTAAGAGCTTTGGCTGCTACTCAGACAGGGTTCCTGGACCTAAGACAGCATCGTCAGGTGGGCGGGGGGGGGAGGGGAGGGCAAGTTTAGAGATCTTCATAAATGGGAAAATCTGGGTTTGTTTATTGCATTGTCATAGTGCTGTATTATTGCTGCTCCTCTTTGGAGGGATGATGGTGAGATATATGCAATGAAGTGAGACTGTTGGTGTTGACTTCAGCACTCCTGTGATAATTCCCATAGCAGTGAACAATTGCATGTTGACAAGTTTCATATGTACTTTATCCATACTAGTGCGCAGTATTCAGCTACTGAGAAGACAAGTGCCAAGATGGCTGTCTACAAGGTGTGAGCATCTGCTCCCCTATTGGTCCCAGCTAATTTGTGGATTTTATTATCCTTAGGCTTTATTTTGACAGTGGTCTTTGTCAGATGTTGTATGTGAGGCTATGATCCAGAACCACTCCAAGGTATTTCAGGAAATCCTCGTGCCTAAATTTCATGTAGCAGAAAGTGACATTTAGGTGCTTCTTTGCATGATGGTTGCTCAGATGGAATGCGGAGACAGTTGTTTTTTTGAAGGTTTGGTCAGTCTCCATAATCAATAATACTCCTCCAGTGTTTTCAGAGCTTCTATGATTCATTCTGCTTGGGTAAAAGTGCTCACTTGAATGGTGAATGTGAGATCATCCGCTGTCCAAAAGTCTGGGTCAATGGCATATTGCTGATACAAATATTAAAGAGTGATAGTGCCAAGATTAATATCTGTGGGAGCCTATTGTTAGTAGACAGGGTCTGCTAGTCTGTTCCATTAGTATACAGAAATCTTGCAGTTGGTGACATGACTGTCAGTACATGCAGTGTTGTTCTGCATACACTATTTTGACGATTTCTAAGCATTTAAATGTTGAACAACAAAAGCTTTCAAAATCCTAACACAACTGCTACCAAGAGATCTAGTCAGCATTATGGGGGAAACTACACAGTCATAGAGCCATTTGAGAGCATTACTGCAATGTGCTCTACCTTGGGCTATGCTAGAAGACCACTTGGAAGATTCAGCTAGTATAAAATGCAGCACCCCACCATCTTGGTAGTATGTATTAGCATAAAAAATCACACCTGTGCTTCATGAACTGCACTGATTTCCTTTTGTGGTGAATCGTTGGTGTAGATTTTGTGGTGTTCAGTGCCATCTTGTTCCAGAAAGTGTTCTGATGGTGAGAAGAGTGTTGCAGAAATGTCTTTAAAAATGCTAGTAGTGAAAACTGACTTTTTTAGATTTTGAGTTTCTGCGCTTGGAACAGAAAAAACAGTATTTTAGATTCTGCAGATAGCACATCACCTTCATTTTTGCTTCTTCAAAGTTTCTTATTTCTTGAGTCAGAAAATGTTAGTTTCTGTTTCACCCAGCTTAATTACCTCGGTTGCTATAATTGTGATACTATATTCTCAAATGGAAAACTGTAAAAGTTTTTTAGTAGCAAGATTTCAGCTCAGGATTTGCACAGATATCTTTTGACATTAGCCAACAAGCCCATAGCAAACAACAAATGTACAAGCTAACTAAGAAGCTTGTATACATTGCAGCTATCTTTTCTGCTATTGCATTTCTAAGAGTAGACTAGTACCTTTTTAAATTAAGGTTTCCACTCCACCTTTACTTGCCACAGATTACACACAGTGAGGAGGATTTTTCATTATGTGAACTCAGATTGTAGTGCTTGGCAAAATAGGCACTTTTCTTCTAACATATATGTATGTTATTGGGAAACTACATGTAGCAAGGTTATTTAATTAAATGACAATTTATTAAAAAAGTGAAGCACCTTTAAAAATCAAACTTAAGTGAATTGTTCTGTGTTTTTCTTCTGTTCAGCTTAATCTTGCTCCAGAAGGGCAGTTTCTGTTCTCAGGGGACTGTTTCAGAACATGCTAGGTGTAATAAATGTGTGAAACATTTGCTTGCTTACCTTTATTTGTTGGCTGCAATCATGACAGGGTCAGTATCTACTGACTCCAGCAGCTTCTGTTGCATCTTCTCTCCTTTCTGAAAATCAAATGTAAATACAATAATACCAGCTAAAAATAACAACAGACTAATTTAATTAACACAATACACAAATGCAGGTGGGTAGGATGAAGGCCAGGCAAGAATACTTGAACTCCTGCAAGATGACAGGATTATTCTGCCTTTTATTGGACATCTGTCAGTATTTGTTATCTTTGAACATCAGTGGCATTCTGAACACACAGGCATTTCTTGTTTTTAAAACAGTTCCTTCTGCAGTGGCCTCTTTGATTGCTGAGATTGATCTGATACTTGGAGCTTCTCTTTGCTGCTCCTGGTGTTTTAGTGGTTAGTGGTTCTTACATCTGGTAGAGCAGGAGCTCTGCCAGTAGTGTTCTAGATCAGAGGTTCTCAGCCTTTTCTTTCTGAGGCCCCGCCAACATGCAATAAAAACTCCACAGCCCACCTGTGCCACAATAACTGATTTTCTGCATATAAAAACCAGGACCAGCATTAGGGGGTAGCAAGCAGGGCAATTGCCTGGGGCCCCACGCCACAGGGGCCTCCATGAAGCTACATTGGTCAGGCTTCAGCTTCAGCCCTGGGTGGCAGGGCTCAGGGACTGGGCTTCAGCCCCATGTGGTGGGGCTTCAGCTCTCTGCCCTGGGCCCCAGTGAGTCTAATGCTGGGCCTGCTTGGAGACCCCCCTGAAACCTGCTCGAGGCCCCCTACGGGACCCCAGGTTGAGAACCACTGCCATACTTGTTTTTGTTTGGGTGTTCTCTGTTTTTCTCATGAGACTTTTAGGGTCATGTGACCTTGGTGAATATGATAGAAATGGTATATTGCCTGCTTTCTGTTTTGGAATTTAACATTCTTCCCCATTTGCAATGGGGGTACATTGTACGACATTTTTGTCATAGTATGCTTATAAAATATTTCAGCACTGGTGCTTCTGTGACCATTCTTAATTTCCAATTTTTTTCTCTTGCTGATTATCCCAGTGCCACTGTTTATTGTCCTCAAACAGAATTCTGAGTGGAGTACTTAATTGTGACAAACTAGGTATGTTAATGTGCCCATGAAACACTGAAAGGCTCCTGCATTTTGAAGTCTTTACAGTTGTCCGATTTTCTC